AGAAATGACATGTAAACCCGGAACCCGAAGATGTACCATCAAAACCCGAGGACTCCTGGTCAAACCCGGAGATCTGGCAACCTTAAGTATGAATGAGGACAGGTGGCGGGAAATTTAAATAAACGTTTCGGTACACGACTTAATCATTAGCAATGTTAATGTATTACATTCAATTTGTGTTTATTTCTGTAATTCAATCGCTTTAAACTCTTGTCTTATAAGGAACATTCACAGAAGTGCATCATAGTAGTATGCTATCTATGCATGTAACTAAATCATATTTAAACTTTTCCACGCGAATCACTTCTTGATCACAGTTTGTAGATAGTCTAAAATACAAAAAAGTTCTTGCAAAAAGACTAGTGTATGCTTTGTGCCATGGTATGCTATGTGGATTAGTTGATGCCCTCGAACGGTGTGCTGAGGTTCTGGCTACACAAACTTCTCTTCAATAGCTTTTTTCCTGTTTTCTGTTCTAAATCTCAACCACTCATATTTTCTTATGGTCACAAATTTGCCTTTCTGCCGACTCTGTTCTTCATGCATCCGACATTCTATATGTTAAAAGCGATCACGTAGCATAATGTATACCTATATACATGACAAGGACATTTATTTATGTAAATTAGGTAAAAAATAATAATTGAGAAATGGAAATATATAATTTTAAGTATTTTAAACTCGATTTTATAACAAGGGAAGTATAGCCCCCCGCGTCACGCTTCACCCCCTAAAGCACCAGATCCTCCTTAAGAAAATTACACTCAATATCAAAAATCGCTAATATTATTTCTCGTTTTTTCTTCCTATAAAACGCTTCTCAGTTGGCCATGACTTAGACCACGAAAATACGCAAATTATACATTCTACTCCTTTTTCTGAGATCTATCAAACAAAAAATAAGTTGAAATAAATCGGTCAATAAATAACAATTTTACATGGGTGGCTAATGCTTAAGTGGGACACACTGTAATACATTTTTTCATTTTCTCACATTTTTTTACGTAAAAAAGATATAAAAACCTTACAAGTGCAACCTTTAAAGTTTCCAATGCAACGAATTTAAATCATTTGGATGTATGTATACTTTTTCAGATAAACAATAAAAAGAAAACAAAAAATGTTTCTTTGAAAGATTACATTATTTAACGATATCAGGAATAATAATAATATAACATTGTTGGACTTCAATTGATGTTATTTCTAATACCACTTTTATAATTAATTTGAATTGGTTTAAATACATTTAAATCAAATTAAAACGTATATTTTAGTAAGAGAATAAAATAAAGCAATCCCAACATACCTTCACCGAAAGTTATTCGTATTAAATCAGCCATCAACGTCCATTAAATGAACACAATTAGTAGCAAAAAACCTAATTAGCATTTCAAGATAAACTAATGTGCTGGATTCCCCTATATTTGTCCTAATCTCCATAGAATTTTCCTGCATATTTGGTGGATTTTACTGGCTGTTTAGATTTTTAGAAAGCTTTTTTATATGTATCTACTAATTCCACCATATATGTAAAAATATAATGTGGGTGCCACATAAATGCGCCTTATTCGAAAACGAATGATTTTAAAACACTATAGAATGCGTACGCTGAAATAGAAAAGCTTACTATTTTTTCTTATACTTTCCATATTCACTGAAGTGCTTTCAATGGTTTCCACGCGATATTTTCGAAACATGCGGTTTACTAGACTCGAATAATTTAACTGAATCGTTAATAGAAATAACAAATAACAGTAGATCTAGATTAGACCCTTGAAGCACATCTGGTATAACTGTGGAGTACTTATTGAGATTAACCCACTACAGCTAACAAAAAATGTCGGTAGAATTTCTTAAATAATTACATTTGTTTAAGTAAGACAGCGTCAGGCTATGCCAAACAAACATTTAGATATCTCCACAAAACTTTTGAAAAATATTGCATTTCTTTTCACGAAAGTCACTTAAAAAGCTCACCTATTCACAGTACTAGAATATAACACAAAAACCGGATTCTCACAAAGACAAATACCCAACCAAGTGTTGCCCGTTCTGTCTTAACGATATGACTAAATTTACAAGCAAGTGGTACACCTTAAACCCTTAACAATTAAGAAAAGTAATCACGGTCAACTAAACGAAACCTTAGTTAACAAATTTAATTAGTCCATTTGCATTTTATTACGTACAAGACCATTAAATTTAACTTCCGAATAAAATCCCCACAACAGACAGACCGTAACGGACGTTAAGTCTGACCTCTAATAACGAATAAGTTTTTCTCCGACTCATTCAGTATTGGTGAGGCTTGGTGTTTTGTGAAATACCTATTATAGGAAACGATTAATCACAATGTTTCGATGAATCCGATGTAGCACCGCTGGTGTCCCATTCCCACAGTGTACAATTTTCTGAAGAATTATTGACCTGGATCCTGGTTCCCAACAAAAACTAAACCCGAGTGAAATTGTTATTAAAATTTAAGCGACAATGTTTTAACATCGCTTCTTTTGCGGAACGAAGTAGCGTTTTTAAAGAAGCCTACAAAAGAAACTCAATTATGAATTAACGCAACCATTTGTAGTGAAAAGGATTCTTACTGAATCACAGATAGTTCAGGGATATTCACGCAACATTTCACCCCCCTTATCGTCTTGACCTTCCTTCCCCAAAACAAAAAAAATGGTAAAGATTTCTTGTGATTTAAAAGCAATAAATATAACGGAGATATAAAAAAGCCTTGTGTTTTTTTATTGAAACACCCTATATAATTGTCGCTTTCTGGAATCGTCTCCTTTTTATAATAACAGTGATGTACAGGGTGACCCAGAAAAACCCAAACCCCTGATAACTTTTCAGTATTGGGGCCTATCGAAGAAAGTTTCAGATAAAAGTTGTAGAATACGAAGAAACTAATATGCTGGTGACCTTGAAACTTAAGGTCAAGGTCAAACTAACTTCCAAGGTCTACTTGTAAATACTAAATTGGACTTGTTTTTTTGACAGCAATATATAAAATTTTTCCTATACTCGTATATCTTTCAAGGGCATTTTGAAATTAAATTAATTTTTCTCTAAACTCAACAAAAGTGTTTCAAGCTAAATTTGTAGGATTTTGAATTACAAATTAGATGGATAATAACTAACAGCTGTTTATATCAGTCTTCAGAACAATCTTACCAAATTTTAGCGATTAACCTAACATTATAGGGGCCTATGATGGAAGAAAGTTTGAGGTAAAAGTTGTAGGATAGAAATTAATATTCTGACGACTTTGGACTTGACCTTCACCATAAATTTCAAGGTCAAGCCAAGGTCAACTTGATTAATATTAAATGAAATTCTATTTTTTATGCCAGCAATAAAGTGCCAAATTTTACGTCCGAATATGGGCTCAGAAAATTTTTCCTTGTATGTCCTTGCATGCCAATTAAAGGTCAAACTCATTTTTTACAAAAAATTAATGGATATAAAAATAATAGAATATAATACACATATTAAACTAAACCTATTAGTGTGGTCTTAATACCGATTTTGAAATTTAATATAATGAAAAGTTATCGAGAGGTTCGGATCTGAATACATGTCATATATTTTGTTTGAATTATAAAAATTTGATGTTTAATAACACATTAATATCGATTTCCTAGTAAACGTTTACATTTATCGGCTTGAATAAAGAGTACATAATGTTTTCCATTATTTTTCTTTTCAATAGTATTTAAATTTCTGTGGTGTCTAGTAAGAGAAAAAAGTTACGAACAAAACAAATTTTGAGTTCTAGGTAAAGTGCCCTCTAGCGGCGCATAATGAGTTTTCTCTGAATGGTCCAATAGAGCTTCATCTACTTAGTGCATGAGTGTGTCAAATGAGAAACTAATAGAACTTGAATAATAATAAGTTATTTAAATAGAAAAATAAAAAAATTTAATTCGTAGAATCTCTTCCCGGAGTTTCCTGATGGACTTTCAGAACACCCTGTATATATATTAACCAACAGTTCAAGGTCACTGAGGTACTGCAAGATGAGAGTTAATGGAGACTAACCCCTAACTCCATAAGGATTTTTTTTATTGTCCTTTCACCGATTTGAAAACGTAAGCCTTCATATTATACAGAATTCGATTCTATTTTCGATTCGATTTTCTTGCTCGTGTTGAATAATGATAAACAATGATATTTTCAAGAAAAATTATTCGAAGGTACTCTACCACTGTGAATTAGAATAACCAAAAAGTCCATGTGTCACTGAAATTTGACAACAGGTACAGATTTAATTTTAGTCTTCAGTGAGATGGCAAGAAAATTTCCTAAAAATTTGGTCTTTAGCATTTTTTTCTCTTGATAGAAAGGCCAGAAAGATACGGGGGGAAGAATGTTATGCGAATATCCCGCACATCAAGTGTTATTTAAACCTTAAAAAAAAACTTTAGATAATGGATAGCTAGTGTAAAACAGCGTTGAAAACTTTAGACTTTATGTTTCAAAACGGTTTCAGTGTGACTCGACAAAAATATTTCATTAATGACACATGTATTTCCCTGTAAAATTATACCTACGATGTACGGCTGTGTTTTATTTTACAACCTATGACAATACTAATTATGTGCGATGAATTTTAATTTTACGTTATATATATTTTTTAAGAACGGTTTATGTTGCTGTAATTTGAGCTGATATAGATTAGGATGTGGTTCACGTATGTATATGGATGGGTTAGTACTGATTACAAGTATGGCATGTTACAAAAAAAGTAAATCAACACATTAACCACAGATTTTTTGAGCAAAAATAATTGGGCTTTCCCTTGTCCCGTTATTCGTTTAGGATTTAGGAGCTAAGTCGTGCTATTTTTGCCCAAATTCACTGGTTAAAGACTTGTCCCACTTTTTTCTAACACCTTATATAAACACGCAAACAACCGAGGCAAAACAAGTTACTACTACTCTAGAGAACAATATCCTACCACAATTACAAACCGATGCCTTCTTTACACTTACTCGTAATATTTCCGGGTACATTCCCCAACTGGTATTTATGCAAATCACACTATTTCAACAAGACACTGATCTGAAAACGTTACGACAGTTAAAACAAACCGTTCCGCTAGGCTTTGTAGGCGGATTTAACTCGAAAAACTACATGGATATACATATATATTTAGACACACGCTTAGACCGCACTGATGACTGACGACAAAACCGAAACAGAAACGGCAGCCAGGTAAGAAAGTTGATTTATCTATGTGAGAGACCGCACTCCGAAAGTCGAGCGGACCTCCTCTCCGTCACCGAAGACATCTGCTCGTGAGGCAGATAACTGCCACACCAGATAATTGAAAGGTAGGTTATAATGTAAAGACAATTAGTCCTTACAATCTGTATGATCCAGTTTTAATCCATCAGACTTCGGGATCGGATAGAACAAACAATAATAATGGCACTTTGTCTTATAAATTTATTTCCAGATCTCAATAATTTTCGAGACTCAAAACTCAATGTATGAAAAATTCGAGTGACGTAAAAAATATTTAAACTTAGTTAAAATTGTTGTTGTAGCTCCATTTTTGTATATGTCTTCATGGTGTACGTCATTATTTGTAATTCGTTATTATTTCATCAAAATTAAATGGTTAATCCAAAAAATTGAAGTAGCAAATGTGTGAAATTCCAAAAAAGTATAAGCCAATACAGTTCTATTATCGGAACTACTGCAACAATTTACCGCGGCAGGCGTGAAATTTTCGCCAATGTCTTTCTACCTCAGGTAATTCCAAGAAATGGCGCAGGGGTTTTCTTGGAATTCTGTGTCAACAAATATCGTACGGACTGTACTTCGTTTAGGAAAAATACAAATGATAAAAACATTAATTAATATTACAAAACAGTTAATATTTTCTCAAAAAATTCGGTGTAAATCCAATTTAGATACAAAATCCAGTGGTGTAGTCAGATTTTAGAACAAAAATCGCTAACCAATGATTGTTAGATGTATTTAAATATTAATTTCTCAGTATTTCCACTTTTTTCTACACGTGTTTCTGTGTATTCTATGAACTATTTTTATTTGAAATTTTCTTCAAAAGCTCATCCAATATTTCAAAATACCTGATATTGGTACGGTAAAACTACTTTGCTATAGGTAGGATTGATACCTTCCTACGGACATTAAAAACACTAACGTAAAAACCAAGAGCAATCAACAACCGTTACATAACCTATGTACCGTGGTAAAAATATTAATTTTCGGATTGAAGGTAGTAATTAAGATTTTTCAGAGTTCGCTTGCACGACAAAAAAGAATGATTGGCATAGTTGTTTTAAGTTATTAATTTAGTTTCACATGCTACACAGAGTGTCGTTATAATAGGAGCCGATTTTATTAAACATGAAAGTAACGAATAACAAATTTTTCAGGTTTATTCAGGATTAACCATTGTAGTTGTATTTAAGTGCGTTTTTTAATAACCGATAGAATTCGCGTAGGTATTCCATTTTATTTTTCTTATCATCTCAACTTATTATTAATAAAAACCACGCAAAGCGAGTACTAGTAATAAAACATATTTGCAACATGCTAATATTTAAACAACTCACGTATTTTGCTTCCAGATACAAAAAACAATAGTTTAAGTATTGTAAATGTGTTTATAACAATTGTATAGGTGTACAGTGAAAATCACAATGCTAAGTCATACATCAAACAAAAATAAAGATATGGTACATAAACATATATTATTTGATATGAAATATACATTGAAAAATCAATAACACAGCCACACAAAAAATGTCTGTACTTTTCATGCGACATATGTTATCCGTAGTATATTTGTCTCTTGATCACGAATCCGGTGTCAGAATTGAGCTATTACATCACAGGAAGTTCCTAACCTCAAAAAATAGGTAAAAATTCACGAAAAAGTGCTAGGATAAACACTATATTTTTTTCCTATATTCAAATGTTCATTTATACGGCTAAGACCCCGCCGAACATTAATCCGCCGTCAGAATTGATGGTTCTTTTTCTAACCTCAAAAAATGGGTCAATTAAGGTCATATATCACTAATTTTCAAAAAATAACATATTCGCGCCAAATTTGGTATCCAGGGGTTTTTGGGGTCGCTGAACACGGATCCGAGGACAATTTTGCAAAATTCCAAGATGACAGACCAAATTTTCAAAAAATAAGATTTGCGCCTTTGGTATACGGAGGTTTTGGGGTCGCCGATTACGTATTCGAGGTCAGAATTACGAAATTCATTTTGTAATATTTTTGTTTACTCTATAACCTGAATACCCAATCAGCTTTTAATCTTTTTTTCGGATATATCTTCTTTTTTTTTGTAAAAAATCTATTTACGAATTTTCTACTTAATCTCATTTAATAAAATAAAAAACGAATTTTGTTAATCTGATCTCGAATTCGTGATCAGCGACCCCGAAAACCCCCTTATACCAAATTTGGCACGAATCTGTTATTTTTTTGAAAACTTGGTCGGCCATCTTGATTCCGCCATCTTGAATTTTGCAAAATTGACCTCGGATCCGTGATCAGCGACCCCGTATACCAAATTTGGCACGAATCTGTTCTTTTTTGAAAATTTGTGATATCTGACCCTTAACTGACCTGTTTTTTTGAGGTTAGAAAAAGAATCGGGGTTTTAACCATATAAATGAAAATTTGAGTATAGAAAAATTTTTTTTTATATTTTTCCCAGCACTTTTTCGTGATTTTTTGCTATTTTTACCTGCTTTTTGAGGTTAGGATATTCCTGTGATGTGATAGTTCAATTCTGATACCGGATTCGTGATTAGGAGGCAAAAATACTACGGATAACATAAGTCGCAGTAAAAGGAAACAAAGGCTAGTTGAATTTTCGGTTATAATCAGTTAGTTCTACTTTAATTGTAGCAAACAGAACGAGCCGAGCTATCGATGGAGTCAGCGGTCCCAAAAATGATCGTTCGTATCAATGTATCAATGTGGTAAGTCAGTAGATATCATTCTTCAAATGTCAACTGCAAGTTTGTAAATACCCTGCATATCGACGTTCACGTTCCCTGTTTTACTCATCCTTAGCCTCGTAGAGTATAAAGATATTTTCGTATTGTACACACTGTATTTTTAGAAAAATTGTTTGGCTTGTTTCATAAAGCAGTTGCATCTCAATATTTATAGTGTACTTATATGAAAAAAGATCGTTCATATTCAAACTGGTCATTGGCGTACGACACTTTCGCCTCACGTTTTTGAAAGGTGTAACAAAAACAATATCACCACTACGAGTACATAATATTTTAGTCAGGATTGATAGTTATGTTTTGATCGTGATTAATGATACACGATTCATATTTCCAGCCAGCTATTATTCAAATTAATGATTGCATATAAAACAGAAAAAAAATAGCGATCAATTGGTAATAATTGAAAAACATACGCATCAAAACGCCCTTTCTCCAATAAAAAAATATAACAAATAGCCTCAAGTATCGACAAATGATTAACAGCACATTTAACATGGTATCATAAATATCGTTAAAAAATTGATCTAATAGAGAGACAGGGATACGCGGACGGATCAAATAAAAAATAATAATAGTAGAACACAAGAGCTACGTCCGTAGTCACGAGTAAAAGGACGACTTACGGCGGAGCTCGGGTAACTGAACTTCTACCTCAATTTACGCTCTCCACCTCTGAGAAGCTTTCTTGGAAGCGGTCCAGTCGCATTAGGTACCATGACGAGACGTTTATTAAACTGCTAATTACCTCATTTATGAATGTTATGCCTTGGATAATATAAATATAACTGTTCGGTATTCTGCATCGTCAAGTAAGTGTTTTTCAAAAGGACCTTTAACTCGATATTTTCATAGTTTTGACATAATTCGCGGGTGTTAATAAAAGACTATTTAAAAATGCTACGCTATGCTTTCATGACAATACTTTAAATTTTGGATCGGTGTTTAGATTAAACCAAAATGTAGGGTATTTACAGACTTGTAGATAAGTTTTTAACAGTTGACAGAATGCATTAGTATTACCTAAGACTTTTCAATAATCAAAATCATTAAAACTTATTGAGCATCTCTGGAATCGTCCCCTAGTTACATACTACATAAAAACGGGTGAATAGTTGTGGCCCTGTAATCCGCTTCTTCGTCTCGTTTTCAGTTCTTACTCTGCTTTCATTACAAAAAGCCGTTTTTATTATGAAAATTATCAGTGAACTGTTTTCTTGTTGTGAAAGGACAATGAGCCTGTGGTGTGTACATTAATTGCAAAAAATATTCTAAAATCGCAACAATAAATGAATGAAAACACTGATGAAAACAGCGAGTTAATTGCACATCTTCGTGTACAACAGAAGCAGAGCCATCTGTGGAGTCAGCGCGCAGCGGTTCCAAAAAAGTTTTCATCCTATCAATGTGGAAAGTGAGTAGGTATTTAAAAATATACATTCTATTTGCAAAAATATTTCTGCCAATTTAGTATTCGCACCTCAATTTATTTTCTCTTCAAATATCTAGCCATGTTGCATAAGCAGGTATCTACAATAATAATTACCCACTTACGCAACACCTTCATAGTAAATATAATTACAATAGGTACCTAGAAAATGCAGTGGTTACACGAATAAATAATAAAACCAATTAATTTATTTGAAAAACATGTCTACCTGCAACTGTTGAAATTTAAAAGAATACTGGTATAAATGTAAAGAAAAATGTTTGGTATGACATACGAATGCGTTTTGATATTTCCTTTGGAAAAATTTAAAAAAATCAAGAAATAATCTAATTAGCGGTTTAATTAAGGAAACATTTTAGAACTAATTTAAAGTAGCCATCTCTAAAGCGACGTACAATTAAACTTTAACAAAATAAATGAAAAAGTCATATCGACCTGTATCCTTCAAACCAACGATTCCCAAAATGGTCTAAATCCACCTCTAGGGGTCGACTCAGAACTGCAAGGGGTCGACGTCAGCGAAAACAGAAACTGAAGTTTAATGATTATTTTCTTACTTATATATTAAACTGTATAAGAATTATTAAAAATTTCATAATAAACAATTATTTTATTTACTACACTCGCAACACTTGTCACTTGTAAAAACTTGCATTGTGTCAGCTCTCAAAAACACATTTGAAATTGATGAATTTGTAACAATTCAATATTAAG